CACACATCTGGAATCTCACCAAAATTATTCTCGCTAATGTCAAGATTAATCAGTTTGGGTAGACGAGTTATGAAATCTGCAGTCTGTTTCAGAGATTTTAGAGAGTTTTGACTTAGATTTAAAGTTTGCAATGAAGGCCAAGCATTTTCACAGATTGTCTCATTTAAGCGATTATTTGCAATCAAATTATCGTGAAAGTCGAGATACAGGAGTGATGAAAAATGTTTTGCAAGCTTGCATGATACCATGAAAACTCTAGAGCTTACAATGGTGAGGCTTTTCACGTTGTTTATTTGTGACTCCATACCATTTAGGTCCATAAACAAATGAAAATTCATAATCATTACATTTATTACTTTTATTGTTTCAACAAAATTTTGCCCACTGCTTGCAATTTTTTTAGTATCCCATATTCCTTTCCCCTCAAGCACACAATCGATTGCCTCGAACTCTTGCAAAGATATGATTTCCTTCAGTAATACAATTACCTGGCTAATATATTCATCTATGAACAAAGCATCTTTAAAAGTAAGTTTTTGTATCCTAAAAGGAAGTGTTGAGTTCTGCACCAAGCTTTTATTTTCAACCTCTAATTTGATTTTTCTCACTTCTAGCCAAATGACAGAGTGCAGAAGGTCCCTGACAATTGCTGAGAATACGTTAATTCTTCTTAGGCTTATGATCATGTGATTTATCTTCTTAATTGACTTCAAACTTCCCGGCTCGTACTGACTGAGATTGCCACCATCAATCCACAACTTGTCGAGAAGCTCAATGCCCTCAAAGTTCCCTTGCCTTACCGTGGAGAACTGCGAGTTGCCCAGGTGGAGAGAGCTCAGGTTCCTCAGACTAGAAAAGAGGGAGCTTTCCCCCAGGTCTCTGTAGGAGTTCCCTTGAAGGTGGAGGTGCTGGAGCAAAAAAAGGTGCCCAAACCACGCAGGGGACAAGTGAGCCAAGCTGTTATTTGATAAGTCCAAGAGCTCCAGTTTCCCAAGGGAGCGAAACGAGTCCTCGTCTATTGAGCTGATTTTGTTGGACTGCAGCAGCAGGGCTCTCAGGTTCACAGCCTGCTGCAGATCCTGGGATCGGATGTGCTTGATCCTGTTGTGGGACAGGTTTAACGTTGTGATTTTGCCCGTGAGCCCTGGGGGAATGAAGTCCAAGCCCATGGAAGAGCAGTTGCACAGCTGAGTGTCATCGCACGAAGGACAAGCCTGCTTCAGGGCTTGCTCTGCAGAGACATTTGCAGCTAAGACCATGTAGATGGCCCACATTCGCCAGGTGTGCGTATTTCTTAATTTGTATTTTGTTTGGTTGAACATTTTGCTGTAGGAAACAGAAAGGAGAGAGTTTTGCACAGCAGCTGAAAACAATTGAAAAACCTGTGCAATTTTATTAAGAAGTTCAGATTCAAATTTTTTCTTGTAAGAGTTATCCTGTGACATCAGTCTTCCTCTCCTACTTCAGCTGCTCAGCCCTGTAAACATGGCATGCCACTCATCTCTGAAGTATAGCCGTATCATGTCTCAACAGTCATAGAGGACCGTTCTCAATTGCCTGCCTTTTCATACACGTTGGCTATAGCTCTCGCCTCTTACGTCTCTTGCATTATGCCTCCCCTCAGCAACGAAGCTACGGCTGGATGTTTCAACCCTAAACAGGGGAATATGGTTAGATCATCAATGATTTGGATTGAGTACATCCTCAGTAAGTTTGCAGATGACACCAAGTTGGGCAGGAATGTTGATCTGCTTGAGGGTAGGAAGGCTCTACAGAGGGATCTGGTCAGGCTGGATCGATGGGCCAAGGCCAAATGTATGAGGTTTAACCAGGCCAAGTGCTGGGTCCTGCACTTGGGTCACAACAACCTCATGCAGGTTTGGGGAAGAGTGGCTGGAAAGCTGCCTGGTGGAAAAGGACCTGGGAGTGCTGGTCGACAGCCAGCTGAATATGAGCCAGCAGTGTGCCCAGGAGGCCAAGAAGGCCAACAGCATCCTGGCTTTTGTCAGACATAGTGTGGCCAGCAGGACTAGGGAAGTGATTGTCCCCCTGTACGTGGCACTGGTGAGGCCGCACCTCAAATACTGTATTCAGTTTTGGGCCCCTCACTCCAAGAAAGATATTGATGTGCTGGAGCGTGTCCAAAGAAAGACAACAAAGCTGGTGAAGGGTCTAGAGCACCAGTCTTATGAGGAGAGGCTAAGGGAGCTGGGGTTGTTTAGCCTGGAGAAGAGGAAGCCGAGGGGACACCTTACTGCTCTCTACAACTACCTCAAAGGAGGTTGTAGCCAGGTGGTTATTAGTCTCTTCTCCCAGATAACAAGCGATAGGCCGAGAGGAAATGGCCTCAAGTAGCACCAGGAGAGGTTTAGATCGGATACCAGGAAAAATTTCTTCACCAAAAGGGTTATCAATCACTGGAACAGGCTGGCCCGGGGAGGGGGTTGGTCACCATCCCTGGAGGTATTTAAGAGACGCGGTCACCATCCCTGGAGGTATTTAAGAGACGCGTAGATGTGGAGCTTAGGGACACGGTTTAGTGGTGGACTTGGCAGTGCTAGGGTAACAGTTTGACTTGCTGATCTTAAGGGTCTTTTCCAACCTAAATGATTCTGTGATTCTAAGTGCTCACAGCCTTTGCAGCGTTAGCCTGTCCATCTAGTATGTCAGAAGCCCAAACAGAGCGTGTCCACCCTCCCAGCCCTTCGAGTGGGCTGTCACTTCTGACACCGCATACTTTCCCAGAAGAGATTTTGGGGTCCCCCTCACGGAATCTTAGTAGCCTCAGGGCTTCTAAAAAGCAGACCTGCATAGGCTCCTAGCACACCCTTTTACACACTGTGTAAGCAATTTACATTCTTTACTGGAAAGGCAGAACAAGCTGATATGCAACCAAACAAGTCTATCGCCCTTTTCTGTAAAGCAACACTGGTAATAGATGGGAATTGGATGTTACTGTCACCCTATAAATAGTGGGTGTAATTAGAACAATACTGATTTTTATTTACAGAAGGGCTGTGTTTCCTGCCACAGGTGCCAAAGAACACTTCACCATTGTCTACCCCAGAAAATAAGTCACTTATTAAAGTTCACAAGCTGCTGTGAACAGCTCCAGTACTGCAGACAAACAGTATCCCCAAATCCTAAATATGCAGAGAGTACATACTTACCTTGTGTGCTGCATGCTGTTTTTGCCTCCTCACCTGCTGCTGCTGATGTACTCTGGGATCCAAGTAGTCACCTCATACCTGCAAGTACAACAAAAGCTGGAAACCCTTTGGCAGGCCTGATGCGACAACAGTCCTGGAGTGAGAAAATATTTCAGCCCGTGCTCCTCAAACAAAACTTTATGTCTACAGTTTCCCAACGTCCTGTAACTACTTGGCCAGTGAAGCATACCAGTTCGCACAGCTTTTTTTTAGTGGCTGCTCCCCTAAGGAAACCATGGCTTCTGAAGAGTTCAGTATTGTCCAGCACGCATAACACTGCCCTTCAAACTCACATTTCAACCACTGCTATTGCTGCTGTTGACTGGGAACACAAAAACGAGCATAGATTGTGTTTGCACTCTCTTCTTCACAAGCTGAAATTCAGTGGCAGATCTGTCCCCTTTTGTTGGTCATTGCTCATCACTGGAAAGGCTGATGCAACCATTTTGCGCAAGTCATTCTTTCACAATCACTTCCTCCAGCATTAAGCGCAGAAATAGTTCCTAGGCAGAACTGCATTCACCTCCCTGTATCTCTGCTTTTGATACTTACTGTTTGTATGCACTGGGGGGATGCTAACTAAACCAAGCAACAGAACATCTCAGCACAACCAAGTTATTTTGTTGTATAGGTTCTGTAAAATGTTATTGATATAGAGATTGATATATATATATTATACTGATATAAATGTTGGAGTCAAATTGTCTAGTCAAAGAGAGTAGTAGAGAAACACTCTACCATTTTGTTTCTTAGGGCACGGCAGTCATACGTTATCAACAAATAGAAAATGCATAAGAATGGGAATGATATTCTATCTGAAAAAGAAGACACAGTTTGAAAGAAAGTATACCTCTCTAAATATCTAAGGTAATTTTGAGAGGGGAGGTTTGATAATATTTATTTTAGCCTGACTGAATGGAAACACACAGCTGGTCAAATGGCCAAGCATGCTGTATGCATAAAGGGGTAGGGAGTCTTCCTACCAGCTCTGAAAGGAAAACCCATTAAATTCAAACACCAAACCTTCCTACTGCAGTTTCCATTTTTTTATTCTGTGCACAGTAAGCATCATGGTCTGCTGCCCACTTGCACCGAGAGGTACCTGCCTGGGAGCAGAGAGACCAATTCCTGCCAGCTGCTGTCACAGGGCCCACAGTGGCATCTGTCTGCTCAAGGGTGGCAAAGCCCAGACAGAGGCCCAAGCGCATCTCATAACAACCTGCAGTCCCGCTACGTTAAAATTAGCATTGCATATTAGGTTAAGAATATGTTGCTTTCCAAAAAAAAAGAATTGAAAGACTGAGATACCCTTGTATTTTCTGTCAGTTACAGAGGATAGATTTGAAGCCTAACAACGTTTTTAAAGCAGCTTTTGCTGGGTGTAGTAGTGTGAGGAATAGAAACAGAGCAGGCTGTGGGACACAGCAGAGAAGGGAAATGGTGTTTTAGTGAAGGGATGTCATCAACTTCCCAAAAACCGCCTCTTCTCTCTGGTAGCTCTCAGCTGGAACAGTTCCAGTTCTTAAAAAGAGAAGACTTTCCGTTTTCAAAATGTTTTAAAATGTTAGTTCTGAGCTTGATGCAACTCATTCCTATATGTTTTTGTCATAAAAATTGCAACTCCTTGATAAACTTAAATGCAGTTAAATTTGCGAAGAGCTCTGAAGACGACTGCATAAGAGGCCACGTACTTCACTGAATGCATAGACAGCACACTTTTTTGTGTGTTACAGCTTCACCACCACATATTCATGGAGACTAGAGGTAGGCGCTAGTTATTTTTTCAGAAATACTGACTTTCTCCTAACATCCAGGCTCAGCCCACTCTCATCACGCTTCTAAACTGGACTGGGTTTCTGCTTTCTCTCAGAAAGATGCGACCAGAGTGACCCTGCCCACCTTCCCACGCTGTAGTTCAGTTCAGCAAGCTGCTTAAAGAACCAAGAAATCAGGGTGGGCCTTCTGCTTGTTTCCATCAGTAGGGAAACAAGTCTACAAGCAGCGCAGCTTCTCTGTCTCTCTCTCTCATTCCAGGTCAATTTGTAAAGATTTATCAGGTTATCCGGAGTAAGGAAGGTCCAAGGATGCTCAAAGTGGCCAGAATTGCCCTCCACAGGCTGCCTTACACACGGGCGAGGTACCAGCCAGCTGCTTCCCAGAGCATCAGCTTCCAAACTGAGCTGCATCCTGGACTCAAAACAACTTCTTTTGAAATCAAGGAGTCTAAAGTAGAAAAAAACGACTGTCTTTTAAGGTGAGCATACCGTTCATTTGCTTTTTCTCTAGAGTAACTGCATGTTTAGCATTCAACAAAGTTGCACCTTGTCGGTGCTTTCCTTCCTCCTCCAAGTTTAAGCTATGATTATCCTTCCTCTGTTATAGTGTTTAAAAAAAGGCATGTACCTCCACCTGTGCCAGTACATTACCTTTTCCCAGCAGAAGGGCACAGATCTGCAACGAGCTTGTGCTTTTGTAACTGCAGAACCCCCCCTCTGCCAGCCAGAGGTAGGGACTCCTCCATCGCCTGCAGTATCTGGGCACGTCGCGCTCTTTAAAATGCTTCCCCTTCCCAATTGCACATGAGAGGATCCTGCAGCCTGTCCCCTCCCTTCCTCTTTCCTCCTGTATGTCACTCAGAGCTGCTTTTAGCTTTTCTGCTGAGAAAGGACAAGCTAGCAATGCAGAAGGGGCCCAACCCAGACGACACCCTGCCCCAGACCCCTGCCTCAAAGAAAAGGCAGAAGCGGTAGAAGAGGGGGGAACCTCACAAATCCAGTGTCCAGCCTGCAATATGAGCAGAAACGCTTTCCAAATCTTTGCAAGCAGTGCAAAACTGCTTCCTCATACTTACATATGGTAACCAGAATGCGTCAGCACGGCTGCAGCAGTGCCACTCTTCTTCTACCCCCCCGGAAAGGGCTGGTGAGGAAAAGTGGTCGAATGTACACTTGCAGTCTTTGGAGCAGGAGGTATAATATTCGTGTAATTGAAAGCAGAACAGCTTGGCATCCTTTCATGATCCTGGAAGCAGAGCCTTAGCATGCACTATTGGTGCCTCTGCTTTAATCTGACTTGCAGGGCTTCAGGTATTCCTCTTCAAACTACAACAAAAA